ACTACGGTATTTGTGATCCGTTTCGCTTTTTAAATCCTTCCGCAAGGAAATATTCATGTTTTTCCCAAGTACATCATTCCTATTCACGAATTGATTATTTTTTTCTTGATAACAAACTTCTTCCATATCTGCAGAATTGCTCATATGAAAGCATAGTAATATCTGATCATGCACCAGCTGTACTGGAACTTAGCTTTCCAAAGGCACCCCCAAAGCATCATCAATGGTCCTTTAACCCTGGTCTATTAAAGGATAAAGAATTTGTCAAATTGATCTCCTCAAATATATCTTCTTTTCTTGAAGTCAATAGTACTCCGGGTATGGCTTATTCTACCATTTGGGAGACCTTAAAATGTTATCTGCGCGGTTTAATAATTTCATATTCGTCTTATAAAAATAGAGAGCGAAAGAGGCAACTAGATGAATTATCTAGTTCTATAACCGCTATTGATGTTCAGTACTCACTAAACCCATCTTCCAACCTTTATGAAGAACGTCAGATTTTGCAGACAAAATATGATCTGTTATCGACTGAAGAAGCTGAGAATTTGTTTTTACGAGCTCAACATAGGGTCTATGAGTTTGGTGATAAGACGGGTAAATTGTTAGCTTATCAAATTCGTAAAACGCAGACGTCACGGTTGATACCCCAACTTAAGTTACCTTCAGGAATTACTACCACTGACTATAAAGAAATAAACTCTCAATTTAAACAATACTATGGAAATTTGTACACCTCGGAATCTCCTCAAGATGTATCTTTAATGAAAACTTTTTTAGATAAATTAGATTTCCCCTCTGTAGAGAAGACTTTGTGTGATTTTTTGGATGAGGATATTCAAATTGAAGAAATAGCTGATGCGATTGCTTCCTTGAAAACAGGCAAGGCCCCGGGTCCTGACGGCTTCCCGTCTGATTTTTATAAAGCATTTTCTAAATTATTATGCCCTGTGTTGCTTTTGTTTTTTTTAGAGAGTCTTCAAAATTCTAACTTACCCCCAACCTTCTATCAGGCTACTATTTCATTAATTCTTAAGAAAGATAAGCCTCCCCTAGACTGTGGTTCTTATCGCCCCATATCGCTCTTAAATTGTGATTACAAGATACTAGCTAAAATATTATCTTTTCGGCTTGAAAAAACTTTACATGGAGTCATTTCACCTGATCAAACTGGTTTTGTTCGAGACAGATACTCTTTTTTTAATATTAGGCGTCTTTTTAATGTTTTGTATTCACCCCATTCCAACAATGCTGAAGTGGTGGTCTCACTGGATGCTGGAAAAGCATTTGACCGCATCGAGTGGGGCTATCTTATAAATGTTTTGGAGAGGTTTGGATTTGGTTCAAAATTAATTTCTTGGATAAAACTCCTTTATGCCGCCCCCAAAGCATCTGTACACTCAAACAATATTATTTCAGATCCTTTTCCACTAGGTCGGGGCACAAGGCAGGGTTGTCCCCTTTCCCCTCTTCTATTTGCTATTGCTATTGAACCCCTTGCAATTGCATTACGTGCTGACTCAGAGGTGCAGGGCATTTTTCGTGGTGATCTAGAACAGAAGGTTTCTTTATATGCTGACGATCTTATTTTATTTTTATCCAATCCTCTAGTCTCAATTCCTCGAGTTCTTTTAATATTGGGCTCATTTAGTACCTTTTCAGGTTATAAATTGAATTTTTCCAAGAGCGAATTATTCCCAGTGAATTCTGCTGCATTAAGTCTCTCATATTCAAATTTCCAATTCAGAGTTGTTAATAACCAATTTAGGTACTTGGGTGTCCAAGTGACACGTAAACATGCTGACTTATTTAAAACCAATTTTAGCCCTTTATTCGATCTCACAAAATCTATGTTTTTATCATGGAAACCCCTCCCTCTGTCACTGATAGGAAGGGTAAATGCAGTTAAAATGAACATTCTTCCCAAATTTTTATATTTATTTCAATGTTTGCCCATATTTATTCCTAAGTCATTTTTCTCCGGTCTGGAAAAGACTATCTCGTCATTTATTTGGAATAACAAGCCAAGGCGAATAAGTCTAAAGCATCTTGTTAAGCCAAAAGAGCTGGGAGGTTTGACTTTGCCTAACTTTAAAACGTATTACTGGGCAGCCAACTTTAGAAACTTATTGTACTGGTGCCGGTATGATTTACAACTGTGTAAACCTCTTTGGGTGCAAATAGAGGCTGTATGTTGTTCCCCAGTCACGCTGACATCTTTGCTCTGTTCTTCTATCCCTCCTACTCATAGTATCTCAATTAAGAATCCAATTGTTAAACATTCTCTGAGGATTTGGACTCAGTTCGGCAGAGCTCTAGAGCTTACGGGTCTTTCTTCAGCTGCACCCATTGCCAGTAACGCTTCTTTTCCGCCCTCTCTTTTTGATGAAGTTTTCAATATTTGGAAGTCACAAGGTCTAGTTACAATTGATCAGCTATTTATAGATAATAATTTTGCTTCATTTGACCAACTTAAAAATAAATTTTCTTTGTCCAATTCCCATTTATTCCGGTATTTTCAAGTTCGGAGCTTTGCCCGTAAACATTTTCTGGAGTTCCCCTCTGCCTCTCCTAGTGGTGTCTGTGAGTGTATTTTAGATCAACATAAATGTATAAGGGGTGCCATTTCAAAGATTTACAGTATAATAAATGACAAACAAACCCCATCTAGCGGATCATTAAAATCTCTCTGGGAGCAGGACTTAAGTATTTTGTTAGAAGATGAAACCTGGGACACTATATTAAAAAGGATACATTCTTCTTCAGTTAGCTCTAGACATAGGCTTATTCAATTTAAGGTAGTGCATCGTATTCATTGGTCTAGGGTGCAACTCGGCAAGATATTTCCTGAATTAGACCCCACCTGCCCACGCTGTGTTGTGGAGCCAGCCTCTCTGTTTCATTCTTTTTGGTCCTGTCCTAAGTTATTAAGGTTTTGGGGGGGGGATTTTTTAGTTGTCTCTCAGAAATTCTTACCACAGTAATAGACCCCAACCCATTGACAGCTTTATTTGGGGTTCTTCCGGAAAATGTTAATCTTACATCTTTAGAAATGGACAATATTGCACTTTGCACATTGTTGGCTAGACGGCTTATACTAATTAATTGGAAGCTGCCATCTCCTCCGACCTACCGTCAGTGGGTTTTTGACCTACTTTTTGCCCTCAAACTTGAAAAGATTAAATTTGGAGTTAGAATGAAACCCGATCTTTTCTTGAAATCTTGGAGCCCTTTTTTAGATTATTTTAAGATGATGAGCTCTGGATAAACCCTTTTTTTTTTTTTTCTCCCTCAGGTTTATTTAGTTGTTTATATGTATATGTTACTGTGATTATATGTTCATCCGCATCTGAGCATTTATTATGTTTGTTTATTTTTTTATTTTTTCCCTTTATTTAATTATGTAACAATCTGATGCTTGTACTGTGCTTGTGATGCTTTTCTTAATAAAAATAAATAAATAATAATAATAATAAAAATAAAAAAATGGTAACCTTTGCTTATATTTAGGATGAACACAATTATTGCTGGACTGCATGGGCCCCCCCTAGCGGCTGGGCCCCAGAAAACGTTCCCCTTTATCCCCCCTTATGGACGGCCCTGGTCACACACACACACCACAGTCACACACACTACAGTCACACACACCACGGTCACACACACTACAGTCACACACACCACGGTCACACACACTACAGTCACACACACTACAGTCACACACACTACAGTCACACACACTACAGTCACACACACTACAGTCACACACACTACAGTCACACACACTACAGTCACACACACCACGGTCACACACACTACAGTCACACACACCACGGTCACACACACACTACAGTCATACACACCACAGTCACACACACTACAGTCACACATACCACGGTCACACACACCACAGTCACACACACCACGGTCACACACACCAGTCACACACACTACAGTCACACACACTACAGTCACACACACCACGGTCACACACACTACAGTCACACACACCACGGTCACACACTACAGTCACACACACCACGGTCACACACACTACAGTCACACACACTACAGTCACACACACCACGGTCACACACACTACAGTCACACACACCACGGTCACACACACTACAGTCACACACACCACGGTCACACACACTACAGTCACACACACTACAGTCACACACTACAGTCACACACACTACAGTCACACACACTACAGTCACACACACTACAGTCACACACACCACGGTCACACACACTACAGTCACACACACCACGGTCACACACTACAGTCACACACACCACGGTCACACACACTACAGTCACACACACCACGGTCACACACACTACAGTCACACACACCACGGTCACACACACTACAGTCACACACACCACGGTCACACACACTACAGTCACACACACCACGGTCACACACACACTACAGTCATACACACCACAGTCACACACACTACAGTCACACACACCACGGTCACACACACCACAGTCACACACACCACGGTCACACACACCACAGTCACACACACCACGGTCACACACACACTACAGTCACACACACCACAGTCACACACACTACAGTCACACACACCACGGTCACACACTACAGTCACACACACCACGGTCACACACACTACAGTCACACACACCACGGTCACACACTACAGTCACACACACCACGGTCACACACACTACAGTCACACACACCACGGTCACACACACCACAGTCACACACACTACAGTCACACACTACAGTCACACACTATCACACTACAGTCACACACACTATCACACTACAGTCACACACTATCACACTACAGTCACACACTATCACACTACAGTCACACACTATCACACTACAGTCACACACTATCACACTACAGTCACACACTATCACACTACAGTCACACACTATCACACTACAGCCACACACACTACACTGTTTACGCTCACGCTGAGCTCAGGCTTATGCTGATGTTCAACAGATGCTGATTGACAGGATCGAGTGCTGGGAGGAAGTGAGCGACTGCCTGAGAGGAAGGACCACCCTCCTGAAACTGGAGGCGGAGCTTATGGTGAAAGCCACGGGCCAATCAGTGGAGCAGCTGAGATGTGATGGACAGCTGGACACACAGATTCTCAGTGACTTCCAGACTGCGGTTAATGAAGCAGTGGAGCAGAGCGCTGAGGGTACGACACACACACACACACACACACACACACACTCATTGACCACACATCTAAAATCAAGTTAAAGGAATTATTTTAAAAATGAAAATTCTGTCATCATTTACTCACCCTCAAGCTGTTTCAAACCTGTATGGGTTTCTTTCTTCTGCTGAACACAATGGAAGATATTTTGAAGAGTGTCGGGAACCAAACAGTTGAAGGACCGCATTGACTTCACTAGAACTAAACGATTAACTCTGTTTGCCTCTCTGGGTTCGGGTCATGTTCAGATAGAATGCCACCTGAGATCTTCAAGTGATGTTGTGTAAGGATAGAGGATCTGCGAATCTTAAACATATTCTTAAATTGGTAATCCCACATTAACGTGATGTTCTGTGGCCTGCAGAGATCAGACGTCAGACGGAGACACTAGCGCTCGAGCTCGCTCAGAAGATCTGTGTGAGGAGGAGGAGGATGATGAAGACTCAGAGCTGCGAGTGGAGTCGCGTGTCACACACACACTCACACACAGACACACACTCAGACGCCCGACTCATGATGAAGGTGAGAAACACACGGCAGCGTCAAAACTGCTGTAGAGACCATCTGTCTGTCTGCTCTTCTGTCTGTCTGCGCAGGCGTTTGACTGTCTCACTGCTCATCTGTCTGTCTGTCTGACTGCTCTTCTGTCTGTCTGCGCAGGCGTGTGTCTGTCTCACTGCACATCTGTCTGTCTGCTCTTCTGTCTGTCTGCGCAGGCGTTTGACTGTCTCAATGCTCATCTGTCTGTCTGTCTCACTGCTCATCTGTCTGTCTGTCTCACTGCTCTTTTGTATGTCTGCTCTTCTGTCTGTCTACTCATCTGTGTCTGCGCAGGCGTTTGACTGTCTCACTGCTCGTCTGTCTGTCTCACTGCACATCTGTCTGTCTGCACTTCTGTCTGTCTGTCTCACTGCTCATCTGTCTCACAGCTCATCTGTCTGTCTGCTCCTCTGTCTGTCTGTGCAGGCGTTTGACTGTCTCACTGCTCATCTGTCTGTCTGCTCTTCTGTCTGTCTGCTCATCTGTCTCACAGCTCATCTGTCTCACAGCTCATCTGTCTCACAGCTCATCTGTCTGTCTGCTCTTCTGTCTGTCTGCTCATCTGTCTCACTGCTCATCTGTCTGTCTGCTCTTCTGTCTGTCTGCTCTTCTGTCTGTCTGCTCTTCTGTCTGTCTGCTCTTCTGTCTGTCTGCTCATCTGTCTCACAGCTCATCTGTCTCACTGCTCATCTGTCTGTCTGCGCAGGCCAGGGCTCGACATAAGCAATGGCCCGATGGCCCGGGGCCAGTAAAAGAGTATGTCGGGCTAGTTGATTGGCCAGTGAATGGCCATCAGCAAAACAAACAGCAAACGTCATATACAGTGGCGCGAAGAGTGTCAATGTTACTTCAGGTAATAACGTGTTAAAATGTCAAAGAACTACGAGGCTGATACGAGAAAGAGGACATTCCTATAGGGCTGGGCGGTAAATCGAGTTTGTACAATATATCGATTTTTTTTAAACGATATGGAATGAGGCAATACTGATATCGATACAGTAGTTTGATACGAGCACATCTGAAAAATAGCGGAGTATAGCCTACGCAGTGTGAGCTCCTGCAGTGAAAAACATAGTACAATTTGTCCTAAACATGACACAAGCTTATATTAAGCACTTCAAAATAACTGGTAAGATATAGTTAACAAGTTTAAAGCAGCTTGCCCTGTCAGATGCTCTGACAGATACTGTTGCTGACTGACAGATAGGCTAAATACTTGCGCTGTTTAATGCGTTTGAGACGTGGTGCTTTCCTCAGTGCTTAACTTACATTTTAGAGGTATATTCTCCATCTGTAAATGTTAGAAAGTCAAACAAATATGTCCATTTCACTGTCAGGAGAGGACGAGCTTCTGCAAGTGAATCTCCGCTAATATTCAAGCTTCCGTGAATGAGCGCCGCCGCGAGCACGCGCGCCTAACAGACGGAGCACAATAGAAGAGTAGCGCAATAATTCTGACTAAAATATACATCTTGCTAAAATATTTGTTGTTGGAGACAATAAATGTGCCATATGTGGAATTTTAAACCTACAAGTAGGCCTATGTTTTTATGAAAGTGAGCATTATAACGGGGTAATCACATGCAGGCTATATAATTAGTTGTGCTTTTGTTTTTATTTTCATTTTTAGTTTAGCCTTAGTCATTTTAAAAACAAAAGCATTATTTTTGTTTTTAGATTGTAATGTTAGAATGTAATGTGATTTTAACCTTTTTGCACGTAATATATTGCATAGCCTACATTACATTCACTATATTTGTTTCCATATCCTTCAATATCAACATTGTTTGGATATCATTAAGCAGGATGTGAAATATTTTTTTTTAAATAAATACAGATTTTCTTTATCCAAATAGAAAAACTTAGAAAGTACCGAGATATATATCGTATATCGCCATTTAACCAAAAAATACCGAGATATGATTTTTTGGCCATATCGCCCAGTCCTAATTCCTAGTGTCATGGAAAACGCAGTACACCTGGCTGGAGAAAGGCGATGAGGGCATGTACTGTTTCGTTTGCCGGAAATTTACAACAAAAGCCGACCAAAATGCAAAATGCATAACCGGCCTGCCGACGGGCTATCTAAAAATAGTGTAATCAAATTCCCCCCTAAACTTCTGCCTAGCCGCCCTAAAAATGTGTGATTAAGTGTAAGCTATACACAAATTTGTGTTCGCAGTTTTTTTTTTAGGTCATAAATGTTAAACGTATGACAAAAACAATCAGGCAAACTAATATACTTTTGTCTAATTTCGCCATTTTGAAGTGAAAATATAGCTTATGTAACTCATCACTCATGTAATGTAATAATTAGTTTGCTGTCATTGTGAGGGGCCAAGAAAAATTCATCCTAATGTATACAATAAATACAGTTTAATGTAAAAGTGCTTTTCATTCTATTTCTTTCAGGGCCAGTTAAAATATAGAAGGGGCCAGTAAAACTCTGATCTACTGGCCCTGGGGGCCAGTGGGGATTTTTTTTTTTGTTGAGCCCTGGCGCAGGCGTGTGCCTGTCTCACTGCTCATCTGTCTGTCTGCGCAGGCGTGTGCGGAGCTGCAGGCGAGACACTGGCGTCAGAGGAGAGAGTTTGAGCTGCAGCAGGACAGCAGAATCACTGAGGCTCTGTGTGAACGCTGGACGGTCAGTATCATAATCATAATCTATAATCCTCGATCATACAGAACCTTTCAGAGCCTCTGGGTTGTGGCACAGAAATCACAAACAGAGGCACAGAAAAACGCAGTTAGCTTTATTTTTTACTATTGTACTGTCACGTTTACCGTATTTTCCGCACTATACGGCGCACCGGATTATAAGGCGCACCTTCAATGAATGACCTATTTTAGAACATTTTTCATATATAGGGCGCACCGGATTATAAGGCGCATAAGATACTGCAGTCAAACGTTTGACTGGGTTTGCGTTATGCATCCACTAGATGTCAACAAATGTCAACAAAACAGTCAGATAAAGTCAAACTTTATTAAGCATTCTGACAACTCCGTTAACTCCCATGGTAACGTTGTTCAAACGTTAAAGGAAAACTCCGGTCAATTTTAACATTGAGCTCATTTTTTTGTAAATTTGGAGTGCTGTCAGTACAGATAACAACGACAAAAACCGGTGTTGCCTACACCGTGTTATCCTCTTTTTAAAATTTGCACCCTGTTGACTTAAACGGGAAAAGTTTTAAACCTGCTTTTAGCCTCTTAACAACCTTAATGTGTCATTACAACTGCACAGCCATGTGAGTGAACACGGTGAATCTGACTCCAGTAAATGTGAAAGATATGAATAAAAATGATGTTTATTCAGCCAGCTCACATACCCGTATTTCTTCCTGTTTTCGGCCGAAGTCCACAGTAGGCGATTGTCGAGTGCGCGCGCGATCATTGGTAACTCAGCAACAGTGGAGACTCAGACTGTCAGCTGTCAGCTGATGACGGTGCTGTGTGGTGTGTTCTCTATGTGAGAATATCAGCTCAAATCGATAGTTCATCCGAATCAGATGTTGAACACACGGAGGAGGTTTGATCGCGCGCGCGAACTCGACAATCGACTACTGTGGACTTCGGGCGAAAACAGGAAGTAAATACGGGTATGTGAGCTGGCTGAATAAAGAGATTATTCCTGCCTTCGTGAAAGCTCGGATAACAGTTGAGACTGATATATCAGCCCAGGCATCCACGATCCATTGGCAGATAGTGGCGTAAGTCGCCCGGCGCTGTCTCCCCGTCTTGGTGAACGTGTGTTCCCCATCCATATATAAGGCGCCCCGGATTATAAGGCGCACTGACGTTTTTTGAGAAAATTAAAGGCTTTTAAGTGCGCCTTATAGTGCGGAAAATACGCTACTACATATGCCGCAGATATTCCCTTATTATTTGATGTGATGATGACCAATATTATTACACAACCCATGTGACGTGTGTGTGTGTGTTTGTATCCACACAGAGCTTGTTTGGTCAGAGTCGTGGACGCTTGGCTGATTTGTGCGCAGAGTTTGTCCTGAGCAGCATCACTACAGGCTCCACCCCCACTACAGGCTCCACCCCCACTACAGGCTCCGCCCCCACTACAGGCTCCACCCCCACTACAGGCTCCGCCCCCACTACAGGCTCCACCCCCACTACAGGCTCCGCCCCCACTACAGGCTCCACCCCCACTACAGGCTCCGCCCCCACTACAGGCTCCGCCCCCACTACAGGCTCCACCCCCACTACAGGCTCCGCCCCCACTACAGGCTCCGCCCCCACTACAGGCTCCACCCCCACTACAGGCTCCGCCCCCACTACAGGCTCCGCCCCCACTACAGGTTCCGCCCCCTCTTCAGGCTCCGCCCCCTCTGCAGACCTCTGCCAATCAGTGCTGAAGAGCATGAAGCTCACCGTGGCCAATCGGATGCAGCGAGAGGAAGGCCACGCCCACACACGCCTGCGCAGGCTCCGGGAGCAGCTGCAGCGGCGCAGACAGGTCTCTCTGCAGTCATGTGGAATATTATGGGATGTCAGGGCTCCAGACTGCCTCCTAATGTCGCATTTCCAACCTTTCTCCTGCCGGTGCCACTAAACTTAGCCGGTGGGAAGCGTTCACGAACAGCGCTGACGTAGAAAGCAGGAGAAACAGCGGCTGTCTGCTCCACGAATCAGCAGCTTTTACCATGAATGTAATGTAGTAACACTAACGGTAACCATGGTATCGTCGGAGAAATAGTCTAGTGTTTTTACATTATTCATTTCAAGGTTCATGCTAACTTTTAGGAGTGAAATTCAAAGACTTTTTAAAGTGATCCCACTTTTTCCTTCAAATCTCTAAATATGATCCAGTTTTAATGTTATTTTTACGTGATGATTCGTAAAACTAAAAGTTTAAAGATGAAGAAACTTAACTAACACTTCGTGGCTAACAAACTTTTATTTAAAAAAGAGCTGAAATGAGCACTATAGCCAGTAGATGGCGGCAGAGGAGCAGTCAGTGCCGTACAGCAGGAGTCACAGTCTCTTCACAGTGCAGAGCGAGCAAAGAGCGGCGCTTCATAGTCACTGAAGCCGACGGCAGTTCAGAGCATTTAATAAGAGTCGAATATTTACATTTTTGCATGTTACTGTTGTCAATAAAAGTTAGTTTTATCTGCATCTCAATTCAAGCTCTGTGCTTTACTGTCACAGTTCTGAAAAATAAACATGTAATATTATTAGTAACTGCACTTATTAATGCATAAAAGCAGTGATATGAGTTACTGCCCTGGATGCTGATGTGTGTGTGTGTGTGTGTGTGTGTGTGTTGCAGGTGTGGACGGAGGACGAGGCTTTGACTCGCGCGCGTCTTCATCACTTCGGAGAACAGCAGCGCGCCGTCGTCATGGCGATGGTGTCCAGGCACTCAGATATGCAGATGAGGTGAGCATGTGATGCGCTGATTGGGCGCTCGTTGGCTGGCCTGATTGGTGTGTGTGTGTGTGTGTGTGTGTGCTGATGAGCTGCTGGATTGCAGGAGTGCTCATGTAGACGAGCAGCAGCTTCTGCTGATCCTGGAGTTCCAGAGGCTTCTAGCAGCGCGAGCCTTTCACCTGCGGCTGATGGACGAGATGAAGCTGGCCATCCAGTCAGACACACAGGTGAACACACACACACACACACACTAACACACACACACACACACACACTAACACACACACAGACACACACACACACACACACTAACACACAGACACACACACACACACACTAACACACACACACACACACTAACACACAGACACACACACACACACACACTAACACACACACTAACACACACACACTAACACACACACAGACACACACACACACACACACACACACTAACACACACACAGACACACACACACACTAACACACTAACACACACACACACTAACACACACACAGACACACACACACACACACACACACACTAACACACACACAGACACACACACACACACACACTAACACACTAACACACACACACACTAACACACACACACACTAACACACACACACACTAACACACACACACACACACACACACACACACACTAACACACTAACACACACACACACTAACACACACACTAACACACACACACACACACACACACACTAACACACTAACACACACACACACTAACACACAGACACACACACACACACACACACACACACTAACACACACACACACTAACACACACACACACTAACACACACACTAACACACACACACTAACACACACACACACACACATGGGCGTCAGTTTGGTCTGAAATGTGGTGGGTACAACGACACATTCAGTTTTTCTCTCTTTCGCACAGGTCATGTTTGACAGACGGTGTCCTGTAGCTCAGGCCTGCTGATGTACACAGGAGTTAGCGTAGTTTTGGTCCAGGTCAAGTGGAGTCGGACAAAAACTACGATAAAACCTGTTGCATCTTTTGCAGCGATTTTTGTGTGAGCGTATCAGTGAACACCCCAGGCCACTCGCTGAGTTTAACGTCTTTGTAAACTAAAGTTTAATGCGTTTTAGGAAGGATTGTTTCTGTGAATTGTTTCGGAAAATTTATCGGGCCAGCAGCATGTGTCCAAATTTTAATCTTAACCGTTCTATTTCATCAGAAACAACCTTGAAACAGGGCTTTAAGTGTAAAATACCGAACTTGTCCTTTAAATAGTAGGCTACTTTGGGTTTAATTGGTCGTACAATGAGATCTGATATGTTGTAGATGTTGTAGATCAGCCTAGTGTGCGTATACTGTAATGGTCCAGTGGAAGAATTCTTGCCAAGCGTGTCGGAGGTTCTGGGTTCTGATCCGCACTCGAATAGCACTCGCACTCGAGGGGAATTTTTCCCCTCATAAAACCGCTAATGTTCATCAGTGGTTGTATATCAAGCAGGGACGCGTTTGTTTGCATTTTGTTTTGTGATTTCACCGGAACGAATGGAGAATCTCCGCGGCGGACTGAAGTGAAGACACTGCGGCGCGAGCCAACAGAACACTGGATCCGCGCCACTGACCGCAGAGGCAGCGAGCACATGATCACATGATTAAAAAAACAACATGTTAGCGCTAGATCGCCTCTTATTTAACAAACGAATGGAACGAATGCTCTGCTAGTGAACTGGAGGTGTTTTACTTGTATTGGTGCTAGGGCTGTGCGATAGACGATGGCTGACAGACGTCACGATGTTGAGCCAGCATCGCGATTTTGGGTTTATTACAGCACGTCAATTCACCAGTTTCTCCCGAAATACATGGCCGTGAACTGGGAGAAGAATAGAGTTGACTTCATAGTTACTTACACTGTGTGTCTGATATTAATAAAACCCGTCGGGAAATATATGTGAACAGGTTGTTATTGCTGCTTCCATAGACACTATTGTGTATTTTACAAACTACAAATGTATTGTTTTGCTATATATTATATGTATTTAAATGTCTGAAACCTAAAATCAACATTATGTGGTTAAAAACACTGAATAGTTGTGATATATTCGCATTCGCTCTCAGTGCTGCTGCTGATGAGATGTGGAGGACAATATCTCCGCGTGTGCTACGCCTCTTAGCTGTTCTAAATCCACTGTAAAACACGGCTTTGCCCCGCCCCTCCTCCCGATATCATCGTCCGTCGCGATGTTTCACTGTACACATCGTCTGATGCCAAATTGGCAGACATCGCACAACCCTACGGGGTACATCCGGACGCGAGATGTTTCAAAACTGGTGGGGACAAAATCGACCCCTGGCAAATAGTGGTGGGGACATGTCCCCCCCGTAAATGACGCCTATGCACACACACACACACACACACACACACACACACACACACACACACACACACACACACACACACACACACACACACACACACTAACACACACACACACACACACACTAACACACACACACTAACACACACACACTCACACTCTCTCTCTCTCTCTCTCTCTCTCTCTCTCTCACACACACACGTTTATTTAGTTATTAATGTAAAAGGTACATTGCATAAACATTTATTGTTTACTTCTGATGTTCTTCCTCAGTGTTTCTCTAATATCTAAACATTCTTACATCAAGACACATTTACTGGAGAAGCAACACTGAAGATATTGAGTCTTGTTTACTAATAAAACTGATAACTTTGTCCCCAAATATGGTAAAGTCGATACAAACACACACAGACTGAGGTTGAGTGTTGTGTTGTGTGCAGGACGCCTCTGTCGCCGTGGAAACGGTGTCCTGTGCAGAGGCTGTGATTGGCCAGAATCTCCTGCACGAGCTGGAGGCGTCGGCTGAGATGCTGCAGGGCCACGCCCACCTCCTGCTAGGCCACGCCCTCTCGCGGGCCGCACGCCTGCGCAGCGACACACAGCAGAAGGTCAGCGAGAGGGGCGAGGTCACGCTAGAGGACACACACATACAAACGCAATCTGTAGACTGAACACGTGAGACGCATGTGCGCCGTCAGCGCTCCCTCGGGTTAGCGGTTTGGGCGTTTACGCGGAGATGATCACGTTTTTAAACCTTGGATCCTGTTTCAGAGTGTGTGTTCTCGAGCTCCAACACTGCTGTGTGTGAATGAGCGGCCGGAACACATGAACAGTTTCTGTCTTCAGTAGAGTGGTGTCGTGTTAGCGTATGGAGCCAGATCAGACTCATTAATAATTCACGCAAAAAATACGATTCACACATGCGTAGACAATTTCACATGCGTGAAACCTAATTCACGTACACACAAAAAAAAATCACGTGCGTGAAAAAAAAACATATTCACAAAAAGCAATTCACATGCACAAAATAAAATTATATATTCATAAAATACATTTCACAAATGCAAAACACAATTCGTAGATATACAACTGTGCACAAAAACCTTTGAATCTTTAAAATGTACGAGTGTGTCCTTGAATTTGAATGTGCAAATCGTCATTCACGTACGAATCGCCTTGGATGTGTGTGTGTGTATTTTTGAGACTTTCCTGGCAGCGCTTACTCCTAAAACAGAGCAGTCGTACTCTTCAGCCAATCAGATTTAAGCTCATCAATCGACCAATCAGTATCACGTGAGGGCGGGCCTATCTGTGTGTTACGTCATCAGCTTTCGACCAGTTCATGGCTGAGCAGAGGTAAGTGCAGTTAATCGTTCATTTCGGTGTTAACTGAAGTTAAAGAAGCTTGAGATCAGTTGATGCAATAGTTTATTAACTGCTGTTTAGTCCACATGTGAACATAAACATTTATTTTTAGTATTGATGGATTTTCATGTCCTGTCCACCACACATTCAACTGATGATAATGTATGTAATGACGTGCATATATAGGAGACATGTTTTGTTTTAAGCATCATATATTATGTAGTTTTATTGTTTCAGATTTCCGAGACAGATGAAGAATGAAGTTGCAGACAACCAGTACTGTGATCTTACCATTCCTACTGTAAATCTTTGAAAACAGTCATGTTGCAAGCCAACCATTTTGACAGTTGTTTCAACAAGAGGTTGAAAGTGATGCATTGTTACTGTATTCATTTGTCTCCTGCGGACTATATGTACACGCTCTAGGAATACAGCCTTGCTATGCATGCATTATTAAATGTTCTTGTCAGAATGAAAAGATTCAAAGACATAGTTCAATTTGATGTACACGTTTTATTAATTTTAACGTTTCCGAAATTCTTTGGGAATAAAATATATATAAAATGACTTGATCATGATTAATGTTCCTGTTACATATGAAGATCATGAACATTCAGTACAGAGAAATATACATCTCTTCCAGAGTTGTGAGATCCAGTCAGAGTCTGCTTTGCTTTTAAAGTATATAAATATAAGTGCAATACATCAAGTGAAAAGTGAACAAATGAATTGTGTTCAATCCAGTCATCAGTAGACCTCTCTGTTAGGACATATCAGATTTTGTCCTGATATTTAAAATAGTAACAACCTATAGTACGAGAGGTGCAGACAGAGGACGTGGGAAATTAAGTGATGGTATTTGAATAGAGTTTACTGAGTAATCTTAGTCGCATAATCTTAATTGCCTCTCTATGATAAGTACCTTTGTCTTATCAGCACAAAATCAGATTTGCCTATTTTACTAAGCAAAGTAAAATTAAAGCTTCACAATATTGTCCTGTGAGACCCTAAGATGACAATAAAAAACCTTATTTAAAAACCTTAAGATGACAATACAGCACAAAACATAAGGAAATGCATGTTGAATATTGGTAACACTACAATATGGTACAATAACATTACTTAATGTATATTAACTAACCATGAGCAATACATTTGTTGCGGTGTTTGATAATCTTTGTTAACATTAGTTAAAAATATAGCTGTTTATTGTTACTTTACAGTGCATTAACTAATGTTAACAAGATTTTAATTAAGTATTAGTAAATGCTGAAATTAACATTAACAAAAAATAATTAAAGGCTGTTTACGTGCAGTTCATTATTAGTTCATGTTAACTAATGAAACGTTATAGTTAAGTGTTACCAATTAAGACATAAAAACAAAAGTATAAAAGAGAATAAAGAAACAACATGGATTAAGATGTTTGTGACTGCTATCCAGCTGTCACACCAAAGGGGAGTAATCCTGAAAAATGCAGGGAAACAAGTGTTAATAATAATTTAACAACATACACAAATAGCAAATAAACACTGGGTGCTCATTAAATAGGTCTATTCACCATTATAAGAACAATTTTGATGAGGCCAGTGCTGAGAGAGCTAGGGTGGGTATTGACCACAGATGATTGTTTTGCAATCATTAGCGTGATGATTGTAGCTGAGAGCTGTCTAAAATACAACAAAACAAGCATCATCCTTCTTCATTTTTGACACGATATGGGACATCTTATTACAACAACACTTGCTTACATCAGTTAATAGTTCATAAACTATTGCTTCAACTGATCTCTAACTTCAGTTAACACAGAAATGAACGAGTAACTGCACTTACCTCTGCTCAGCCATGAACTGGTCGAAAGCTGATGACGTAACACACAGATAGGCCCGCCCTCACGTGATACTGATTGGTCGATTGATGAGCTTAAATCTGATTGGCTGAAGAGTACGACTGCTCTGTTTTAGGAGTAAGCGCTGCCAGGAAAGTCTCAAAAATACACACACACACATCCAAGGCGATTCGTACGTGAATGACGATTTGCACATTCAAATTCAAGGACACACTCGTACATTTTAAAGATTCAAAGGTTTTTGTGCACAGTTGTATATCTACGAATTGTGTTTTGCATTTGTGAAATGTATTTTATGAATATATAATTTTATTTTGCACATGTGAATTGCTTTTTGTGAATATATTTTTTTTTCACGCACGTGAATTTTTTTTGTGTGTACGTGAATTAGGTTTCACGCATGTGAAATTGTCTACGCATGTGTGAATCGTATTTTTTGCGTGAATTATTAATGAGTCTGATCTGGCTCCATATTAGCGGCCCATAAGTTAATCACTAATGATCTTTACAACGGAAGTGAATCAATCAAAACTAACTTTATCTGGACAATAACTTTATTCTAGAGCTGCTGTAAAGCCTAAACACTCTCTGTTACTGTAATCTCCTGTTATCACTGTAAAGCTGCTGTGGAACTCTACACTGGTAAAGCGCTGTATAGATGAAGGAGACTCGACTGGAAGTCCTGTAGTCAATAATTGTAACCATTTAAACTCATATTTGATCACCAAAATTACATATTTATTTTTAATTCGTATCTCAGAGTCTGAAACAACAATGACTAGCTTGTGTTTAAGACACTGTGTGTGTGTGTTAATGTGTGTGTGTGTGTGTGTGTGTTAATGTGTGTGTGTGTGTTAATGTGTGTGTGTGTGTGTGTGTGTGTTAATGTGTGTGTGTGTGTGTGTTAATGTGTGTGTGTGTGTGTGTGTTAATGTGTGTGTGTGTTTGTGTGTGTGTGTGTGTGTTAATGTATGTGTATGTGTGTGTTAATGTGTGTGTGTGTGTGTGTTAATGTGTGTGTGTGTTAATGTTGTGTGTGTGTGTGTGTGTTAATGTGTGTGTGTGTGTGTGTGTGTGTGTGTGTGTGTTAATGTGTGTGTGTTAGTGTGTGTGTGTGTGTGTGTGTGTGTGTGTGTGTGTGTTAATGTGTGTGTGTGTCTGTGTGTGTGTGTGTGTGTGTGTGTGTGTGTGTGTGTGTGTGTGTGTGTGTGTGTTAATGTGTGTGTGTTAGTGTGTGTGTGTGTGTGTGTGTGTATGTGTAAATCAGGTGTGACACGTGTAGTGTGTTCATCGTGTGTTTGGCCTTCAGGAGCGGCTGATGGACGCGGTGTGTGAAAGTGTGTGTGTGACGCGGGACTGTGTCGAGTCTCTGATCCGGGAATATTACTGTGGGATCCGGAGCAGGAGGAGGACACACAGCAGAGCCAGCGGTACACACAGACACACACACACACACACACACACACAGCAGAGCCAGCGGTACACACAGACACACACACACACACACAGCAGAGCCAGCGGTACACACACACACACACACACACACACACACACACACACACACACACACACACACACACAGCAGAGCCAGCGGTACACACACACACACACACACACACACACACACACACACACACACACAGCAGAGCCAGCGGTACACACACACACACACAGCAGAGCCAGCGGTACACACACACACACACACACACACACACACACACACACAGCAGAGCCAGCGGTACACACACACACACACACACACACACACACACACACACAGCAGAGCCAGCGGTACACACACACACACACACACACAGCAGAGCCAGCGGTACACACACACACACACACACACACACACACACAGCAGAGCCAGCGGTACACACACACACACACACACACACAGCAGAGCCAGCGGTACACACACACACACACACACACACACAGCAGAGCCAGCGGTACACACACACACACACACACACAGCAGAGCCAGGGGTACACACACACACACACACACACACACAGCAGAGCCAGCGGTACACACACACACACACACACACACAGCAGAGCCAGCGGTACACACACACACACACACAGCAGAGCCAGCGGTACACACACACACACACACACAGCAGAGCCAGCGGTACACACACACACACACACACACACACACACACACACAGCAGAGCCAGCGGTACACACACACACACACACACACACACACACAGAAGAGCCAGCGGTACACACACACACACACACACAGCAGAGCCAGCGGTACACACACACACACACACACAGCAGAGCCAGCGGTACACACACACACACACACACACACACACAGCAGAGCCAGCGGTACACACACACACACACACACACACACACACACAGCAGAGCCAGCGGTACACACACACACACACACACACACACACACAGCAGAGCCAGCGGTACACACACACACACACACACACACACACACAGCAGAGCCAGCGGTACACACACACACACACACACAGCAGAGCCAGCGGTACACACACACACACACACACAGCAGAGCCAGCGGTACACACACACACACACACACACACACACAGCAGAGCCAGCGGTACACACACACACACACACACACACACACACACACACACACACACACACACACACACAGCAGAGCCAGCGGTACACACACACACACACACACACAGCAGAGCCAGCGGTACACACACACACACACAAACACACAGCAGAGCCAGCGGTACACACACACACACACACACACACACACAGCAGAGCCAGCGGTACACACACACACACACACACACACACAGCAGAGCCAGCGGTACACACACACACACACACAGCAGAGCCAGCGGTACACACACACACACACACACAGCAGAGCCAGCGGTACACACACACACACACACACACACAGCAGAGCCAGCGGTACACACACACACACACACACACACACACACAGCAGAGCCAGCGGTACACACACACACACACACACACACAGCAGAGCCAGCGGTACACACACACACACACACACACACAGCAGAGCCAGCGGTACACACACACACACACACACACACACACACAGCAGAGCCAGCGGTACACACACACACACACACACACACACACACACAGCAGAGCCAGCGGTACACACACACACACACACACACACACACACACACACACACAGCAGAGCCAGCGGTACACACACACACACACACACACACACACACACACAGCAGAGCCAGCGGTACACACACACACACACACACACACACACACACACACACACACACACACACAGCAGAGCCAGCGGTACACACACACACACACACACACACACACACACACACACACACACACAGAAATGTCCATAAGGATGCACAAGGGTTCAACATTATTTGTGAAAGTTTAAAGATAAATAGGATAAATCACAATATGCATTCATATTATTTGTGCAAATGAGCAACATTTCAACATTGTAATAATTACATTAATTAAATTAATTGAATATTAATGATTTACTGAAAATTACATTTACTAAAATCACATTTAGGATTATCATATGCAGGTCTTTATAAATGAAGCTCCTTCGTGAGGTGTGTGTCTGTCTCTGATTCCTTCAATCACTCAGTGTGTGTGTGTGTGTGTGTGTGTGTGTGTGTGTGTGTGTGTGTGTGTGTGTGTGTGTGTTTAGAGGATACAGACACACACACACAGAGGACGGATTGCACTAGAGCTCTACAGACACAACTCCTCAACTGGGCCAGAAAACCCACATCTACTGAATTACATCACAGGTACAGTCACACACACACACACACCAAACACACACGCACACACACTCACACACACACACCAAATACACACACACACACACACACACCAAATACACATTCACACACACACACACGCACCAAACACACGCACCAAACGCACGCACAGTCACACTCACACTCACACACACACACACACACACTCACACAGTAAATGCATAATTATAAGTGTATGAATAGTAACGCGCTCTGTTGTGTGTGTGTAGGGTTGTTGAGCTGAAGAGGACGTGTCTGACAGAGTTTCAGAAAGATCTTCACAGTCCAGAGCAAACACACACTTACAGACACCTCAGAGTATGTGCTGATGATACCCGTGTGTGTGTGTGTATTTCTGTCAGCTCATCTGTGTGTGTGTGTGTGTGTGTGTGTGTGTGTGTGTGTGTATTTCTGTCAGCTCATCTGTGTGTGTGTGTGTGTGTGTGCAGGATGAAGAAGAGGCGTTCATGCGTCGACTGGCGTCTCTAGCACGAGTGTCTCTCAGGAACGAGGAGGATTTTACAGGTCAGAAACACGTTCAGTTTAAGTCTTTGTTGACGTGACCAAAATTGTGTATTAGTGTCACCAGAGCATCTCTGTGTGAAGTGTGTAGTGTGAAGTGTGTAGTGTGAAGTGTGTAGTGTGTAGTGTGAAGTCAGAGTATGTGAGCGGAGTGGAGCGGCAACAATTCCCCCTCTGCGCTCCAAGCATTTAATAATCACTCCGCTCTGGGTTCTCCATTTACACTCCTCCCTCCCACTCCACTCCCAGTCCTCTCCCACTCCACTCCCACTCCACTCCCAGTCCTCTCCCACTCCGCTCCCACTCCACTCCCACTCCGCTCCCACTCAACTCCCACTCCACTCCCACTCCGCTCCCACTCCACTCCCACTCCCACTCCGCTCCCACTCCGCTCCCACTCCACTCCCACTCCACTCCCACTCCACTCCCACTCCACTCCCACTCCACTCCCACTCCGCTCCCACTCCACTCCCACTCCACTCCCACTCCGCTCCCACTCCACTCCCACTCCGCTCCCACTCAACTCCCACTCCACTCCCACTCCGCTCCCACTCCACTCCCACTCCCACTCCGCTCCCACTCCGCTCCCACTCCACTCCCACTCCACTCCCACTCCACTCCCACTCCGCTCCCACTCCACTCCCACTCCGCTCCCACTCCACTCCCACTCCACTCCCACTCCGCTCCCACTCCACTCCCACTCCGCTCCCACTCAACTCCCACTCCACTCCCACTCCGCTCCCACTCCACTCCCACTCCCACTCCGCTCCCACTCCACTCCCACTCCGCTCCCACTCCACTCCCACTCCGCTCCCACTCCACTCCCACTCCGCTCCCACTCCGCTCCCACTCCACTCCCACTCCACTCCCACTCCGCTCCCACTCGGCTCCCACTCCACTCCCAGTCCTCTCCCACTCCGCTCCCAGTCCACTCCCAGTCCACTCCCACTCCGCTCCCAGTCCACTCCCACTCCACTCCCACTCCGCTCCCACTCCGCTCCCACTCCCACTCCGCTCCCACTCCGCTCCCACTCCCACTCCGCTCCCACTCCACTCCCACTCCACTCCCACTCCACTCCCACTCCGCTCCCACTCCACTCCCACTCCGCTCCCACTCCACTCCCACTCCGCTCCCACTCCACTCCCAGTCCACTCCCACTCCACTCCCACTCCACTCCCACTCCCACTCCCACTCCACTCCCAGTCCACTCCCACTCCACTCCCACTCCACTCCCACTCCGCTCCCAGTCCACTCCCACTCCGCTCCCAGTCCGCTCCCACTCCGCTCCCACTCCACTCCCAGTCCTCTCCCACTCCGCTCCCAGTCCACTCCCAGTCCTCTCCCACTCCGCTCCCAGTCCACTCCCACTCCGCTCCCACTCCGCTCCCACTCCACTCCCAGTCCTCTCCCACTCCACTCCCACTCCACTCCCAGTCCTCTCCCACTCCGCTCCCAGTCCACTCCCAGTCCACTCCCACTCCGCTCCCAGTCCACTCCCACTCCGCTCCCACTCCCACTCCGCTCCCACTCCACTCCCAGTCCTCTCCCACTCCGCTCCCAGTCCACTCCCACTCCACTCCTACTCCGCTCCCACTCCACTCCCACTCCGCTCCCACTCCACTCCCAGTCCTCTCCCACTCCGCTCCCAGTCCACTCCCACTCCGCTCCCACTCCATTCCCACTCCTCTCCCACTCCGCTCCCAGTCCACTCCCACTCCGCTCCCAGTCCACTCCCACTCCGCTCCCAGTCCACACCCACTCCGCTCCCACTCCACTCCCACTCCGCTCCCAGTCCACTCCCACTCCGCTCCCACTCCACTCCCACTCCGCTCCCAGTCCACTCCCACTCCGCTCCCAGTCCACACCCACTCCGCTCCCAGTCCACTCCCACTCCCACTCCACTCCGCTCCCACTCCTCTCCACTCCTCGCTCCGAAATGTGAGGTTATACATTTCATACAACATGTTTTGTATTATTTAAAGTGACGTTGTTGAAATGGTTTGGTGTGTTTCCATAAACACTGACCCTCGTCACCCAATACAGCATGAGTGTGTTCTGTGCAGGTCATCAGTGTGAAGAGAGTTTCTGAAGGACTTCTGCTGGACCTGTGATGAGCGTCAGAAGACCAGCAGAATGATGCAGAACACACACTCACTCACACACACAATCTTAAAGTAATATCTTTAATAGTAATAGAAAGGAAAATGGAAAAATGCACAATGCTTTGCATGTTTAATCTGTGTCATGACAGGACTTCACATACAGGATAGCCTGGATCTTGACGCTTCTCCTTGCATATATAATATAATATACAGTAATAAAATAGAACTTCCATCATTGTTTTACTCACTTGTCCCCTCTTATAAACAAATAATTTAAAAATTGAGACTGGTTTTAATCAATTATTAATTACAGCATTTGATTTCTGACATGTTTTCTGATCAAACTGATGCATATCATGAAATGCCTTTCACTGCAGCAATTTGTACAAACAGAGTCTGTAGGCCTACTATACGTGTTGTAGCCATTAAATAAGCACATTCAGTTTCATATCTGTTAAAATATTATAATGTTATTTTTTTCCATCTATGTTGATTATGAAAAGTGAACAGCATGAGTAAGATAGGATGCGCAATATATCGGGAGACATATGGAGTGGGTCAGACATGATTTGACCACTTCATTAAGGTTTGTTTTGTAGAAAGCCTTTCTTTAAAGTGAATTTCGTTTTGTATAAATTGTATCTTAATTTTAATAAAATTTTCATCAACCAATTGCCTGGATTTAATAAATAAGAAGCAAATATAGCAGACAATATCGTGACACGGAGGCGCTGGCGCGGTCACTTGCATTGCACGTGAACTGGAGCATCTCATCATAAACTAACCGAAACTCAGCGTATGCCTCACAGACATGAGAAATATATCTATAGAGAGACTGAAATGTCTTTAAACAAAACAATTCAAAACGAAAAGAAATACTCTCTGATTATGTAATCCATTATTTCTCTCTATAGACGCGTTCACTACGGAGATGGCGATCGTCCACTTCATCTCTGCAGCCGACACTGACACAGAAAACACTCGTTTATTAATAAAAACCGATGCACGCGCGTCACCGGATTTACAAATGCACATCTTGCTTGTTGCATGCAGACATATTCTGTCGAAATAACGAGATATGTTTAAATAACATTATTAATAATAATAATAAATCTTTAAGAATATTTGATTGAATACTGAATGTTGTGCTTGTTCAATTTAATAAAATTAAAACTTTAATTGTGACAATTAAAATAATTGAATATTAAATACTGAGTGGCCAAGTTTTGCTAATTTATTAATAGTTTGTATATACACTACCGTTCAAAAGTTTGGGGTCAGTGAGAATTTTATTTTTATTTTTTGGAGGAAAGAAATCAATACTTTTATTTATCAAGGACAGTAAAGACATTTATAATGTTACAAAAGATTCTATTTCAAACAAATGCTGTTCTTTTAAACTTCCTATTCATCAAAGAATCCTAAAAAACAACAAAAAAAACTGTACAACTGACAGACCAACAACTCTTTCAAAACTTTCAACATTGATAATAATAATAAATGTTTCTTGAGCATCAAATCCTCATATTATACTGATTTGTGAAGGATCATTTGACACTGAAGACACTGGCACTGGTGATGCTGAAAATTCAGCTTTGATCACAGGAATAAATTACACTTTACTATATATTCACACAGAAAACAGCGGATTTACACTGGAGTAATATTTAATACTATAACTGATTTTTGTTGTATTTTTAATCAAATAAGCTCAGCCATGGTTAGCAGAAGAGAATTCTTTTAAAAGTATTTAAAATCGTACCGACCCCAAACTTTTGAACGGTAGTGTATATATATATATTTACACTTTTAATGTAATGCGTTACGTTAGCTTGTGTTCTCATCTGAGCTGGACTTGATTGATTTTAATAAACAAAAAACCTGAAGTTCTGTATTTTAGTCAAATGTAAAGGGTGTAATGTGTTCTAGACGTCTCACAATGATATCTGTGTGTGTGTGTGTGTGTGTGTGAGAGAGTGTGTGTGTGTGTAATTAAGATTCAATTCAGGTTTATTTATTGCGCTTTTCACAATACACATCATTTCAAAGCAGCTTTACAGAAAGTGCACGAGTCCACATTACAGTTTACAGTGATCTGTTATCAGTGGACACTAAGTTATGTAGAACATATACAAAATCACAGTTAGCGAAAAATGTAGAAATTTAAACAATGTAGTAATTTAATGCAGATAATGAGCTCATTGAATCAAAGTCAAAAATCTGATCAAGATGTGTTTTAAATTTTATGTTGATGTCTGAAAGAATAATCCGTCGATTTTTTATGTTTTTTTATAATGCATGTTAAAGCCGTTTTGCGCTCCAGCTGTTGGTGGCAGTAATGCGCCAAATACGGTTCGGCCAAACAGCCAGCAAACAAGAAAAGGCCTGACTGCGCATGCGCGGAGGTCAGACAGCCAAAATGGCGGCGAGTAACGGCGGCGGGATGGAGGTGGACGCGACAGGTGAGAAATTCACTCGCGAGCGTCACTCAACGCGCTTCATTAATGACAGACTCACTTCACGAACATTAAGCAACACACACGATCGCTTTACTGAAATCTCAGATCTCCAAGAACGGCCTGTGAGGCTCGCGCTGTTACTGACTGATGACGCAGGCTCGGGCTTGGTTCTGATTGGACAGCGACCGTCATAACTCCCGCCTCCTGGCCGGAGTCTCTCCTGTGATTGGCCGCGTCTGTTGCTCAGATCTGATGTTTTGGTTTTTGACGCTGTCATTTAAAGTTCATAGCAAACGGCTGAACTCTCGTCCTCAGGAGTATTACTGACCAAACTGATCTGAAGATATACATGTAATTATTCAGTATTAGAGTCATTAAAACGTGTCAAATCAAAGATCTGAATTACTTAATTTCAGTCGGTATAAATTAATCTGTCATACTTAAATATAATGAATGAAATGGGCACAAAGAGAAAGTTGTAGATATTTCAGAATGTTTATGTGGCTGAAGGTGTGTTTTGGCCACACTTTATATACATACATTAAAAAATGATTTAATTGTTAGTACAATGTACTTATTGTGTTGATGTTGTATTGCAAAACTCTTGTGGGTTACGGGAAGGTCAACAGTGTAATTATAGATGTAATTACAGGAATTAACTACTATTTTTTAAATATAATTACATTATAAAAACATGCATGTACACAATAAGTGCATTGTATCAAAGTAATAGATTAAATGTTATTATATAGCACATCAGTTAAAGACACCTAATATAAACTGGGACCTGTTAATCATCAGAAATTTTCTCAGAACCATCATATAGTAATAGACAAAAATGTATGTGTGTGTGTGTGTGTGTGCAGCGAGCCCCAGTGTGATGGCGTCGGGTGTAACAGGCAGTGTGTCTGTGGCGTTGCATCCGCTCGTCATCCTGAACATCTCCGATCACTGGATCCGGATCCGCTCGCAGGAGGGACGAGCCATTCAGGGTGAGTGTGTGTGTGTGTGTGTGTGTGTGTGTGTGTGTGTGTGTGCTGAGCTTCATAGTCTAACCCTCGTCCTCAAAGGTAAAAGCTGTTTACAGATGTAAAACAAAGGCATGTCTGTTTTGTGGGACTAGACCTGAGTCTGGTTTTTGTCATCATGAATCGCTGAGTTATGTGTGTGTGTGTGTGTGTGTGTGTGTGTGTGTAGTTGTTGGCGCTCTGATCGGGAAGCAGGAGGGAAGAAACATCGAGGTGATGAATTCATTCGAGCTTCTGTTTCACACCGCAGAGGATCAAATTCACATCGATAAAGAGTATTACTACACTAAAGAAGAGCAGTGTGAGTATACCACACACACACACACACACACACACACACTCACTCACACACACACGCACACACTCACTCACACACACACGCACACACTCACACTCACTCACTCACACACTCACTCACACACACACGCACACACTCACACTCACTCACTCACACACTCACTCACACACACACGCACACACTCATACTCACTCACTCACACACACACTCACACACACGCACACTCTCACACACGCACACACACTCACACACGCAAACTTACACACGCACACTCTACAGTTGTCAGAAAGTACCGACTTCGGTACTGAAATTTTAATAATGTGAGGCTTTGAGCGCTTTAGAGCGGAGTCATAAACGCCTCTGATTGGCCGTTGTGTTCACGAGCTCATCAGTCTGATTTGTGTAAAATTTCTGACAACTCTATCACACTCACACACTCACACTCACACACACACACACACACACTCATACACACATACAATCATGAGTATTAGTGTCAGAGAGTATGAGTGTGTGAGTTTGAGTGTGTGTGTGTGTAAGTGAGTGAGTGTGTGTGTATTAGTGACGCTGTTTTTCCTCTTTCAGTCAAGCAGGTTTTTAAGGAAATGGAGTTTCTGGGCTGGTACACGACTGGTGGCGCTCCTGACCAATCAGATATCCACATTCATAAGCAGGTGGGCGGAGCTACAGACGAAGCACCTCCCATCAGTGTGTGTTGTGTCATACTGAAGATGTGTGTGTGTTTTTATAGGTGTGTGAGATCATCGAGAGTCCGCTGTTTCTGAAGCTGAACCCCATGACCAAACACACTGACGTGAGTCACATACACACACACTCACACACTCATACTCACACTCACACTCACACACTCATACTCACACACATACTCGCACTTACACACTCACACTCACACACAGAATGTGTTTCTGAATCCTGACCTTTGACCCATTCTGTGCAGTTGCCAGTCAGCGTGTTTGAGTCTGTGATTGACATCATCAGTGGAGAGGTGAGTGAGTGTGTGAGTGTGTGTGTGTGTCTGTGTGTAGTTGTGTTTGTGGTCTTGATCGCATCATTTTTAACTTAGAACTTATTGAACAAGAATGTGCAAATGTTTCTATATGTTTGTGTTAAACTCGTGATGAAAGTGAAGTAGCGCTGGTCTCCTCTATTGTGTCGTATATCGAGAGAAACGCTTCAGGAACAGGAGCACATGTGGGCGGGGCTTGATTGTGTCTGGGGAACTGATTGGCTGGTTGGATGGTTGTGGTTTGCTATTGGCTGATCTCATGTGAGTGACAGGTTAAAGCCCCGCCCACATCATCAGAGAAGAGAAGCTGCACGAGGAACTGATTCTGATTCAACATTATTAACACTATAATGATCATCGATACATTTTTTTTACAAATATTG